GCGGCGATCCCATAACAAGTTAGCGTTGAATGTGAAGTAGGTAATCCTTAGTGTCAAGTTAATTAACTGTGCCAACGACTCATTCCTGATCATTCCTGCTTATAGCAATTCCGGCAGAGCAGTGAGATAATTTCGCCAGAGATGCTTGTACACATGGAGTGAACATCAGAACTTACCAACAATTCTATTTCTTCGAGTATCACGTTTTTAAACTGTTGAGATAATGCATATGAATGCGTCACTGAAGTTGAGAATATGTCAATTACCTTGAGTTTAAAACATATGAACTTTGCCCATTTGTGTATTGCTAAATATTTGCTGTTGACTGATAGCCTAGTCGTTCCATTTCCTTGCGTACATTCGGTAATACAGACGTGTCTAAAATATAGGTCGAAGGTATGAAGACCAATATAGTGGTCAACATTCCCAGCACAAGAGTGAAGGGAGTGATACCGATAGCGTGGAGTGTGAAGGATTTTCATGAAGGAGCACACCACACTACAGTAAAAATAAGCACGGTAAAAATTGTGGCAGGGAAGGCATGATAGGAGGATAAAGGAAATGTGAATAGGCCAGGGCAGAAGGGGAGATAGCATAACTGTTCGGCACACGTTTGGTCAAAGGATGGGCTTTACTTGTCTCTTTGACGAGTTGTAATATGGTCTGAGAATGTACCACGTCCACGGTCCGACTTTGGAAATGATGATGCATACAATGGACTCCGGATCAGGTGCGTTCACCTAAGTCTTCCTACCAGTATGACCAAGTTGCAAAAACAAGGTCAAACAACTTATATACAACGAAAGGAGACTGCGATCACATAAAAGGTAACACCGTCTTGGTCTTCATACCTTCAAATGACTGTTTTATGTTTAACTGCTGTGGCATCATTCCTTGCCCCTGTTTTTTGTCCTACCTTCTAGTGCTGTATGTCTTTCTCTCAGCTCAAATTCATATCGCTTATTGGTCTATTCACACAATGCTCTAAGGCGTAATCATCTTCACCACCAGTTACAGATGTCTTTTGCAGTCCTATGACTTTCATTCAGCCTCCATTCCACCCTGCCTGTTCATCGGTCGCTGCCACATATGAAATAACTTTCTGGTTGTCTAAAATTTGACCCTTCAATTCTCGTCCCTGTTTATGCCATATTCGAGAGTTTAGAACAATTGATGTCCAGACCTAGCAACCTTCCTCTCCATATGCTCCAGACTCATCACCCAATTATCCTCTTTCTCATCCTACCCACATTATATCACATTCTTTGGGGCCTTATGTCCGGTATAATGCGAAAACACTGATGAGAAAATCTGCTGATGCCGTTTTCCACTCTCGAATCACATAAAGCGCACACTTGTCGCCATCTAATCATAGGGTATTGGTCAGTTGTTCATATATAGATTGATATGTATAAAAACTGGGTTTCAAAGCGGCCATTGATAGAGTTATGTTAGGGTATCTTTCATTCCGTTTGAAGAGGAGACTGAAAGGGATTCGTAGGTTGGTTTCACCGAAAGCTGTAGGGGGGTCGCCTAGAACCATATCTCCAAGGCAATTTTCCTACAACTTCAGATGATACCAATTTACGAATCTCTTCTACTCGTCTCTTCAAGATTAACTGAAAGGTATTCTAACATTTGTATGTCATATCATTGTTCAAGTCTCGTTAGGGCACACATTACAGAAAATACCCACAAGCACACACACTTTTGGAGAGCTATCAATCGTACAACTATTCCTTTAACCTAGCATCTCTAATGGGCATAAACTGTCAATTTCTAGCCTTTAATTTCCTATTCCACATTGGTAAATTTTCAGGCTGTTTCCAGGCTTAAAGCTTTTCACGAATTGGTCCGATTTTTCGTCTCTCATGATCCTCTGCCAGGCGATGTCGCTATCTTTTGGTTAAATAGTTGTCCTTGATCCAAGCGGAATCTCCAAGCGTGCCGAAGAAGTATGCGAAATTATCGCTGACACTACCCTTTTTCAATCTACTGTTCATCAGGTTTATTCGAAACAATCTGTCCACAGGCGAATATAAAAATTGGGATTTGAAAAAATTAAATGAAAATGTCATTTCTACTCATATCATTGTGGGAAAAATGAACCACCAGACCTGCATCACCTTAAACGAAATAGGATGAACGCAACTCACTGTTTGGCTGTCTGAAATCTGGCTGCCTCGATACGCAATATTCGAGTATTTATAACAAATGATGCCCATGTCCCTGCTCATGTACATGCCAGTGCCTAAGAAACTTTCTCTCAATTGGCTTGAAGCCCATGACTCTATTATCCTCTTCTTTATCACCACCCACATTTTGTCTCATTCTTTGCGGCCCTGTGTCCGGCTTAAGTCATTAACGCTGGCGTGAAAATGTACCGCTACCCCTAATCCTAGGGTACTGGAATGATGTCCCAGTGTGTGTGTCGGTTGGTATCCCCACATGGTCAAGTCTGCTATCAGTCACCTCCGCTTCCGACACAAATACTAAAATACACACGACACACATACACAATGGTGACCTATCCAGCCCAGCTACATCTCACAGATGAACCCCTTTGGTAAATTTTTTTGGCCAATTCTACCTCTGATTCCTCACTCTGTACAGCCTCCCTGATCTTCCGTTTCCTGCTATTTACCCCATATGAGGTCAGTCTTTCCGTTTCATTCAAGTCAATTGTGTGGCCAGGAATGACGATGTGTTTATCTATCTCCGATCTTTCCGTATCCATGTTCCTTCATAGTCGCTGGTGTTCTTTGATTCTTGTGTTGATTGTCCTTCCTGTTACTATAATGTATTTTTGTTCACAATCCTTGCATGTTATGTTGTAAACTCTATTTTGTTGACTTCTTCATGTTGTGTGAGCAAGATGGTGAAGAGGGTTGTCCTTTCCTTCAGGATTATAAGAAAGTTTAATTTCTATACTGTTGGTGGTAGCTTTCGACCCAATTCGCAGGACGCCAGACATATCCATATTTTGCTCCTGCCCCTTTTGCTCTCCGTCCTCCCATCTGTTCATCATCATCCGTATGTTGCGTTGTATTGCTTCTTCTGAATATCCGTTCCCAAGAAACATCTGAGTTAGTTAGTGGGGTTGACAGAAAGATATGCAGCACTAGAAGATAGAACAAAAAATAGAGGCGATGAATGATGCCACAACTGTTGAACAGAAAATTGGTCGAGGGGATTGCCTTCACTTGTCACTGATAAGTTGTAATTCTGCGCTTGCGATGCCGGCGAAACGTTTGTGAATGTACCGGTCAATGGTCCAGCGCTGGAAATCACGAATACTATGGCAGAGGACACGGGACTAGGTACGTTAAACAAGGTCTACTTCATCACCTTAAACAAAATAGGGTGAAAACAACTCATATATCTGATTTACAGGTAGTCTCGAAAACCTACTCACTTACGAAAAAGTAATATCGTCTATTGATATAGCAAATATAAGTTGGCTTCATCGACAATCTCAACAGAGAATGTGATATGGAAGATGTCAAGACCCTGGATTAGAAAATCTTTTGGAAAATCAAGGCCATGTGAAACTCAAGGGAAACGTCAACTCTACTCATAGTATTGTGGAAAAATTATAATCCCAAACCTTCATTATCTTAAACGAAATAGGGTGAATAAATCTCAGGCTCAAGGCTGGAAGAAAATAAACTTGTGTTCAGTCCGTGTACACTAACATCACAAGAGAAAAAGCACTCACTATACTACTGAATAGTTTGGGAAAAGAAAATTACATTCTGGCGATAGAGCGAATGCATAGAATGTCCTAAACCCGATTAATCAACTTAACAATAAGAATGACCTTTTTCACGTTCAACGGTCGTATCCATGAGCTGCTTGTCTATGGGCACAACACTCTCGCCTCTGTTGGCTAATGTGTCATGGACTAGTTGGAGGAGAATTTCAAAATGTCACCCCAACAACCAACAGTAATTACGCAAGATTTGGATGACTACTTTGCAATTTGGCAGCATAGGCGAGAAAAATTAGACGATTTCCTGATCATCATAAACGAAATGGATGAAAGAGTCAAATGTACCATGGATGTGGAAGAAAATGGACACTTACAGTTCTAAGATGTAGAGGTTATTCGCTCCAAATAAACTTTCAACTTCCCGTCGAACCATACTTATGGAATAAAGATTGGAAAACTCCGGAGTATGATCACAAGAAGCTTACGACTGAGATTATGGGTTCTGTGAAGAGAGACTGGGAAAACTAACTCAGATATGTCTTGGGAACTGATATCCAGAAGAAGCAATACAACGCAACATAGGGATGGTGATGAACAGATGGAAGGACGGAGATTATGAAAGGCAAGCTAGAGGAGCAGAGGAAAAAATATGGATGTCTACCCTCCTGCGAATTGGCTCGGTAGCTATGGCCAATACTAGGGAAATGGAACATTCTTACAATCCTCAAGGAAATGACAACACTCTTCACCAGCTTGCCCACAAAACATGAAAAAATCAGCAAAATGGAGTTCTCCGGAATTTAAAGCATAAACTGCAAGGACTGTGAACAAAAATAAATGGGAGATACGGGAAGGACAATCAGGACAAGGATCAAAGAACACCAATGACTATGCAGGAAAATGGATAAGGAAAGATCGGATAGAGCTGAATACATCGCCAATAACGGTCACACAATTGATTGGAATGCAAAGGAAAAACTGGCCTCATATGGAGAAGATTAGGGAGACTGTAGACATCCTCTTTCAAAGAAACCTGATGAACAGGAGATTGCAAAATCGAAAAGTCAGCGATGATTTTGCGTACTGCCTGAGCAGACTTGAATAATCAACGAAGACATCGAAAGGAAGACGCTTGGACCCAGGACAACTGTTCAACAACAGAAAGAGACATCACCAAGGAGCGTCTTATGAGTCAAGATAAGGCGACTGCATTGAGAGGAGTCAGATGTGAAATCGGCCAAAAAAATCTACCCAAGGGGTTTTTCACCTGTGAGATGTATGATTTTTAATTAAAGTCTAACGGTATAGGTGAGCTAGTAGAGGTCATCAGAGTGTGCGCGTAAGTTTTGTGTGTATTTTTCGTATCTGTCTCAAAAGGGGAGGTGACTGATGGCAGACTTGACCATGGGGAGATACCAACCAACACAAACACAGGGACATCATTCCAGTACCCTGGGATTAGATGGGGATGTCAACTGGAGAGAAGAGAGGAGTGTGCCTCTCGCGAACCAATGATAAAGCGGTAGCGGTACATTCTCACACCAGCGGTAATGACTTAAGCCGGACGCAGGGCCGCAAAGAATGAGACAAAATGTGGGTGGGGATGGAGTAGCGGACAATATAGTCATGGGTTTCAAGCGTATGGGGAGGAAGATTCCCAAGCACTGACATGTGCATGAGCTTGGACATGGGCATCATCTGCCATAAATCCTCGAATATGGCGTAATCGAGGATGGGAATGGATGGCTCTTAGACAGCCAATAAGTGATTTTTAGAAGTTGTTTGGACTAGTTTTTATAACTTGGTCATATTGGTAGGAAGACTTAGAGGAACGCACCTAGTCCGGAGTCCATTGCATGCAGGATCATTTCCAAAGTTGGACCGTGGATGTGGTACTTTCCCAGACGTTACGCCGGCATCGTCAGTGTATCTCACCATTCGTAGCACCATAGTACAGCTCGTCAAAGAGACAAGTGAAGTCCATCCTTTGATCAAACGTGTGCTAAACAGTCTATGGTAAAAAAAGCCTACTGTCGGCCATCTAGCCTCAGTCTCCGCCTTGTCTATCCGGTTTCTATCCCTAATGCCAAGTCTGTGCCCTACCAACCAACCCACAAACGTTGTGGATCAAGATTGAACATAATCACACCAAGAAGACTCTTATCAACAGTCCCAGCACAAGAGAGAATGGGGCTGTGAAAACTCAAGCGTGGAGTGTGGAGGGTTATCATGAATGCCGCTCAGACAGCACACCACACTACGTCAAAATAAGCACGATAAAATTGTAACAGTGAAGGTGTGATACGAGGATATAGGGAATGTGAATAGCCCAGGACAGAAGGAGAGATACCACAATTGTTCGCCACACATTTGGTCAAAAGATCAGCTTTACTTGTCTCTTTGACGAGTTTTAATATGGTGCTACGAATGGCAAAACTCACTGACGATACTGACTACGATGCCAGCGAAATGTCTGGCGATGTACCACGTCTACGGTCCGACTTTGGAAATTACCATTCATACAATGGACTCCGGACTAGGTGCGTTCCTCTAAGTCTTCCTACCAACTAGGTCAAACAACTTCTAAAACATCTTTATTCCCTTAGTTCGAAACAGAATATCATAAATAAACATGCAAACAAGTTCTAGCTGTCTTTTTGTTAGATCAATGAGGATAAGATACAAAAGTTGCCGCATTTTTTTCTATGCTAGCCTGAATACAAGGAAATACGATGGCTTTATTTGTCAACAATAAATAAAATGCAATTCCTATTAAGTATTTAAAGATAAATGTGAACTTTCGTGAACTCATTGCAATAGAAAAGCAAAAGACCATCGTCAAAAACCGGTTTCTTCATCACAGAGCTATTGCAGATAGTGAAAACGTTGTGATCATCTTTATGTGAGTCTGAAAAACATGAATGGGTTTAAATAACAAATTTATAGAAGTTGTTTGACCTTGTTTTCGCAACTCGGTCATATTTATAGGACGACTTAGAGGAACACACCTTGTCCGGAGTCCATTGTATGCATCATCATTTCCAGAGTAGGACCGTGGACGTGATACATTCCCCGTT